ATTTACTTGAGTCAGTGAAAACCAGATATCAAAAATTGTCTACGACCGTAGCAATAATTTCTGGTGGTTTGACAAAAATCTTACAACCATTAGATTTTTCAGGTAATAAATCCTTCAAAGCTGAAGTCCGAAAGCGGTGGGAGTGTTGGATGAGTGAAGGATTGCATACGTATACAAAAAGCAGTAAAATGCGTAGAGCAACTTATGAAGAAGTTTCAAAGTGGGTAGGAAGTGCGTGGAAATCGGTAAAAACATCGTCAATAAAAGCAGGGTTCAAAGAAGCTGAAATTATATCCTTAGGTAAAAAGACTGTAAACCAAGAGGATTAAAGGTGACGATCTGGAAGACTTGGACGTAGATCAGGATTTAATAAATCTTTTTAATTCAGATAGTGAAGAATCAGATTTTGATGGCTTCATATGATATATAGTTTGCTGTAATTCCTTTTGTAAGTAAAATTTAAAATTTCCTTTTGTCATTCAAATTTAATATTTCGTTATTGCAACATTTTTTATAATATAGTCCGAGTATTACAAATATGGACTTCTTTAGTGGGTAAATATAAGTATATTCGTGAACGTAAATATATTTTCAACATTTCTTACCTTTAATTTATTTTTGAGTTATGGTTTCATTTCATGCATTTTTCTTAACTGATATGTTATATATTAGGACATAGGTTGAGATTTTGCATCTATACGGCTCACGACGATGTCAAGCACAATTTAATCTATTGCAGCGTTTCTGTGTAATTTAATTTTTTTCCCGCCATTTTTCTCGAGTGCGGCGTTTATGCTGATGTGGCCTTTCTTCCAGAAATTACAGTATGTATTTGAGAGCTTAAATACAGTAATACACTTGAATACATTAAACCTGTTTGCATTTATTACTTGGAATTTGTATTATTTGAGTACTTACATGTGTTGGCATAATAGATACATGACTTAACTTGCATTGACATAATAGATATATGATTATGTTACACGAATATTGTTAATATAATTGAATACTTGATTGCAATAAAAACACTTGATTAATTCATGACATTAACCTATATACATTAACACGTTGAGCGTCACATCAGCCATCTGTGGTTGACATTAGACTTTCCGTTTAGGCCACGTAGACCGCCACTGGTTGACAATGTGTAACATCATATGTAACTATAAAATTTACACTTTTATGGAATTACAGAAAATTTATTTAAAATTTACTTAATTAATGGACTAATGGATTTCATTGAAACACGGTAAACATAAAAACGGTTCTCCATTACAGTTATTACAAAATGTGACAACTCTCTTAGTCTTTTTTTCTGGCCATTGCTCCTGGCCTTAGCGCTTTTAAGCGGTATTTAACTGATTTTAAGTTTTAAGCGCTTTTATACCAGCGCTTTTAAGCGGTGCGCGTGGTCTTAACAGAATTGTATAAGAAATACGCGTGGCGCTCAACGTGTTAATTATATGAGTACTTGAGTACAGTTGTTAACACACACACATATATATACACACAATAAATTCTTGAATATGTAAAGTACTTATGTATCATAGTTTACATTGAATACAGAAATTCATATAAGCTTGAATACTTAATTAACTATTTTATTACTGCTGCAATTCTGGCACTTGTTGGCCTTATTGCTGTGCTTTTATAAGCAATGACAAATGAGAGAATATGATGATAGTGCCACTCATTGTCATTATTCATTACTTTTTGACTCAGCTGTTGGCCATTGCATAATAGCGCATAATTTGATTTACTTTTTATGTAAAAAATGCTTTTTAAAAACAAGCAGCAGGCCAGATTTCTCCTGCAGGCCGTTTATTTTCAGAGGTTTAAAAAAAGATGGAATACTCTAATTGTATTATAATATGGAATAGAAGCATAAAATAGTTGAAATGCTATTGATTTGCTCTCTACTTTAATTTTATATATTTTTCAGGAGGGTAAAATATTTACCCCGTGAATCTTTAACAAAATATATAATATTTCTATTTTTTAAATTTTGGGAAGTGGGAAAAAATGTTTAAAAAACACTGTTTTATAACTGTTTTAATCTCTGTTAATTTTTTTTATATTAAAAGGAATTAATATAGTTTTAGATCAATTTGATCAGTATTAGGTGATGGACCATTTAAGTCTGTGGAATATAAATAAAAATCTTTAAAAAGAAAAAAACAATATTAAATTTTTGGTTTCATTTGATATTTTTGGATTTCGGAGGTACGGAAAGTGTTTAAAAATCGCTTTATTTTATAACTATTTTAATCATTTTTAGTCCTTTTTATATTAAAATAAACTAAATATAGTATCAAATTTTGAGATTTTCAAAAAAAGAGTGACATGCTTATAATGAGCAGCATATGTCCCGTACTATAGAAAACATGGCAAATTCGCCATAATTTTGATTTAAATTGGGATGGATTTGTCGCGTGTCCATACACTGCTATGGGACATACATATGGGACATACACTGCTAAGCATTGAAAATGCAACACCAAGAGGGAGTGTTCAGAAAGTAATGAAATTTAGAAAAAAGACAGAGACAGCAAGCAGCAATAAGTGATCTTATTTCAAAATGATGGTCAGAATACAGAGCAAGAACGGCATCGGCTCAGTAGGATGTAGGACCACAGCGGACAGCGATGCACGAAGAAACATGTCTAGGCATAGAGTCAGTAAGAGTGCAGATGGTGTCCTGAGGGCTGGCTCTCCATTCCCTTTCAACCATTTGCCACAGTTCATCTTCTGAACGAGGCAGGGGCAGAGTCTGCAAACGGCATCCAATCATATCCCACACATGTTCGATTGGTGACAGGTCAGGAGAGTACAGTGGCCAGGGAAGCATCTGTATACCTTGCAGAGCATGTTGGCAGATGCGAGCACTGTGTGGTTGAGCGTTATCCTGCTGAAAAATTGCATTAGGCAGCCCCTGAAGGTAGGGAATTGCCACTGGCCGCAGTACATTATCCAAGTATCGTTGGGCCGTCATATTGCCCTGAATACGAACTAGAGGTGACCTGGAATCATAGGCAATAGCGCCCCAAACCATCATGCCACTTTGTCATGCGGTGGGGCGTTCCACAGTTACTGCTTGATTAGATCTGTCTCCACGTTGACACCACACACATATACAGCGACTGTCACTGGATAAACAGAAGCGTGACTCATCTGAGAACACGACATTTCGCCATTCTGTCATCCACATCGCTCCAGTCCGCCACCATTCTAAACACTGGCATCTATGCTGTGTGGTCAATGGCAGTCTTCTTAATGGACACCGTGAGTGCAGGCCTCGTTCAACCAATCGACGGGAAATGGTTCTGGTCGACACAGTAACATCCAGGGTATCTTGCACATGCTGCAGAATCGCGGTACAAGTGACTTGCGGAACCGCCACAGCTTGTCGGCGGATGCTTCGATGCTGTCATTACTCTAGCTGCACCTGCACCCCTCCTTCTTCCCACATTTCCTTGTTCCAACCATGTTCGCCATAGCCGATGCACTCTGCTCGCATCCATGTGGGTATCAGCTGCGATTTGACGTAAGGACCAACCCGCCCTTCTCATTCTGATCACCATACCCTTCGTAAAATCGTCTATCCACTGAAAGTGCCTTCGTTGACGGCAGCCTGGCAATACGTACCTCCGAGACAAAAAACAACTTTCTTCGATAATTCGGCTGACAGAAATAACGACACGAATATTGCCCATTCTGCACGTTCCTTCCCTTATATCTTACTTCACGTGCGTCGGAGAGCTGCGCATTTCACATCATTCGCATAACTCAGTGAAGTGCGTCTACTCTAAAATTTGCATAAATTTCTGACCACTCCTTCTTGGCGTTGCATTTTCAATGTCGAACAGTGTATATTGCTTACATATATAATATATTTGAGTAATATTAAAAAATGCCCAAGTAAGTAAATTAGCTGGCTTTCTTTCCACCTTGTTGTTTTAATAAAATTCCCAATTTTGTGTTATTTATTTAATTTAAAGTATGCTTAAATATTGGTCAGTCATAGTCGTGAGAAAATTTTTTATGTTGCACCATTATTTTTGTCGAGAGAGAGGCTGAACAAATTGATGGCAGCTGGGAATTATCCTATGAATGTACAGCCTTCAAAATTGACAAGGAAAATGACAAACTCTCCATAATGTTGCTAAATAATTCCATAATGTTCCCATAATTTGCCAGATTCGCCAACCTTTTTTAAAGCATCATTTTTATTATGCAAGCTTAATACTTGCAATTTGCATGTTGCAGAATTAGATAACTGATTTACGATAGCTTTGATATTATTTAAATTTTCTCTGTTGTTTATGACCATAAATTGACAGTGCCAAAGCTTATTCAATAGTGATCTTGATGTGAAATTAAATTACTCTGGTTAAATTATTTGTTGATAAAAAAAAATTTAAAAAAAGGGGGATCTGGTCAATACTTCAGGGGCCATTTTTCTGTTGGTTTTAGATTTTGAGAAATCATAATTTTTTCCATAAAAGAAAATGAAAAATATACCTTGTCTGAAAAGTATACCTTGAAGGGATATGCAGGACTCTCATCATAAATGTTTTAGGTAAAGAATTAGATAACGTATATAAAGATAGCTTTGATATCTTATATAAAGTAATTCATCTAAAATATTGTACTTTTCATATGTTTTTGTCTGATCGAATCATCACAGCTGATGAAATATGCAATTGGATATTTTAATAATAAATGTAATAAAAGCATGAACTTAATAAAAAGTTGTGTACTTTTATTGCAATAAGAAATTAAATGACATCTTAATTTAATTCTTGCAATATTCTACCATATTCCAAAAATTGAGTAATTTTTTCATGGTTTAAAAGGATAACTGTGGGAATTATATATTTTAAATGCGTGTGACTACTCTTTTGTAAGAATTTTATCTGTAAATTGTCTTTTCTGTGTTTTAAAATAATCCTGATTTTTGTATTAGTTTTAATTAAGTTGTATTTTTTCTTTCCCAATAGGTTAGTTTCAGCAAAAAGCGGAAAAACCGTATGCATAGTGACAGTGCTGCTGCAATAGCTGTTAATAAAAGTCGTAGTTCATATTTAACAATACCCTTTACTCACAAAGATACTGATTCATTGGTTGACAATGAAGCAGTTGTTGTATATGATGAACGAACTGCTCTCTAGCATTTTTAATCACCATTAGTAATCCGTCTCATTATTCATAGCTATAACTGTTATTTAAAGCATTTATGTTTAATATTGAATGATTTGTATACTTTTGTATAGTCTTATAGCTTTACCTAACTTTAATTGCAAATCATAATTGTTGAGAAAATATTTTTGATCATGCAATATGTGTTAACAACATCAATATTGTATTGCAATTTAGTGTTCTTACTTACATATCTTACTTAATTGTTCAAAGTTTTTTCTTTCATTTAAGCATTTATTATTTGTTAAAGTTTTACACTTTTCAGCAGTCCTTGAAAAAATAATACATAATTTGAAATCTTTTATAATATTTTCTCTCACATATTTTTTTGGTATGGCAAGCATTCTGTAACTGTCATGCATTTATGAAAAGGATTTATAAATTTTTTGTATTAGAGTAGTTTTTTAAAATAATATTTTATTTCTTTTAACTTCGTTTTGTATCATGATAATATTTATCTTCTGATGTCTAGTCATTTACTCCGAGATAGCAGAAAGTTACATAAACAGATCTGTGATAATCTATTTTCGGTGGATCAGCTATCAAAATCTTAATGTGCTTGGGTCACATGTTGGTGATTTTTAAGGTTTTTGGAGAAAACTCTTTTATATGTTGGAAATATTTACAAGAGATGGAAAGTTGGATTTGAATTAGGATAATGTGCATTATTTAAGAGCTGTTATAGGCTTTTATAATAAATTAATTATAGTGTTTTGTCTGAAATGTGTTTTCTCTTCTTGATGTTTCAAAATGCTTTTTTGTAGATAGTGACTGTAATTTTCATGTGCTTGAAAACTAAATATTCTATGCATTTAGAATGATAACATTTCTTGCATAGGTCTAAAACTTAATTATACAGCAGATTTTAAATTTTTTGCCTCTACTGTATTTCTGATGTGGTGTTACTGTATTTCTGATGTGAAGTTTAAAAGTGTTTTGATAGATTATGCTATTCTGTCAGAAGAAAAATTGATATTCTATTAAAGTTTAAAGAGTATCTTTTGCTAATCTAAGTTTCCTTTTTATATAAAAATGCGTTATGAAAGTTACAATATTTTAATCTATATATTTGAAGCTGGTGGAATATTATTATTTTTTCATTATGTTCTAGCATTCAATTCTGAAATAAAGTACATTCTTAAATAAAAGGGAAAAAAACCCTGTTAAAGTGTTTTGATTTTATAAATTTTGGAAGTGCCTATAATGTTTTTATGAACTTTATACATAATTGTTCGGTAATATCATGGAGACTATGATTAAGTGAGAAAATAATTTTGTAGCTGTTATATCAGCTACTGTTTGGTTTTTAATGAAGAAATAAAAACTTTTATTTTGTATGTTCTGAATTTAATTTTACCATGAAATTTGTTTAGTTTAATGAAAAATTTAGAGCCAACATAGAAATTTATATTTAATGTTTTCAAATTAAACAGTTTCAAAGCTCTTATTGAGAAAAGTGCTCAGGTAGTTTGCTGGCTAAGTTCTCTGAACATTTCTAATTCTCTCCACCCTCCAGTCTGATGATTCCGAACCAGTCAGACAGGTTGCATGAAAGTTTCCAGAATCTTTATCTTATGCAACATATAGTGATCAAATTTCCTTTAAAAAATCTTTTTTCATTACAGTTCTCCAATATAGACAACCTCCTACATACTTTGTACCATCAGTTACCTGCTGCATTGATTTTAAGAATTTATAAATTCTGCATAATTCTTCCGAAAGTTTAGTATCTGAGAGTTGAATTTAAATGTATGTATAACTAGATATTAATTTACATTTTGTCTGTATTTGAATTTTGAAGATCTGCAAATTTCTTGAAAAATATGTTTTCAGGATCAACCTCAATCTTGAACTCTTCCAAAATAGCCATTTGTTTTTCAAGAGCTGGAAAAGAAACCTAATTATCTTACTAAATGAAAACCTAAATTATTAGTAATCGTGCGCTTATTGCGAATAGAGATGGACATTTTTATGTAACAATTTGAATGGTGGGGATTTGAAATTTACAGACATTTTTAATGTACTATAAGGGATTTTTTCCTTCCTTCACACATGCCTTCATAATTTAATTTGAAGCGTTCGACGCATATTTGATAAGGCCAGTTTGAAAGAATTGTACATTTTTCACATCTCCTGCTTCAAAATAACCTAATTTCTCTACAAATGGTGCCTGAACTAAAAAATGATGGACAATTTGTCCCCACCTGGAAGTCCCCTAATCCCCAGTCATGGGTTAGGGGAGCAAAGTATAAGGTTATTTTCTCCCTCTTTCCAGCATGCCTTTGTGGTGTAACAGTAGCACACTCGAGGTATATTCGAGAGTTCCATGTTCGAATCTCGGTGAGGCATTGCACACTTTTTATATCTTCTGCTTCAAAATAACCTAATGGCTTTACATTTTCATGTATATAAACACAGCATAACAATATATAAATAAAATAGTTCTGTAAATATTTTACTCTTTTTAAAAATGAATATTTTTGTTGAACCTAAAATTGCATAACTTAGGATTCAGACGTCTTGTAAGACATCAATTTGGAACACTATGTACACATGATCACATCAAAATTGTTTTTACATGAAATATCTTTAATATCTGTCATTTGCAATCCATTCAGAGGTAAACTTGAAGTATATTAAATCTTATCTTTATTAATAAAATTCAAACATGGATTTGAAATTTTTTGATTTATATAGAAATATTTTGATTAATTTAATGAAACCTCCTTTTTTTTTTTTTTTTTTTTTTTTTTTTTTTTTTTTTACACAATCTGTAGGCTATTAAGTATATTATTTTGCTTTTAAATTACTATCAAATTTTTAGTAGACAGCAATGCAAGATAAAAGTCATAAATAGTTTTTTTTTCTAGTTTCAGACACTCTTTTAGCTTGTGAATGCACGTTTTTTAATTCTTTAGAACTGTAGCATTCATTATTAAGCTCTGTTAATCCAAGTATACTTCTGAACTGCGGAAAATGAATCTATACATGTATTGATGCAAAATGGAAATGTATATTTCTACACAACAAATATACTGGTGGAAAATGAAGTCCCAAGACCAAGAGGAATGGAATGTAAACAAATCATTTATCTAGGTAATATATTTGACTAATGTTTCAAGGTTATAAGTTAAAGTACATGTACAAAAAGAGTCATTTCAAATGTGAAATGGTGGTACATTAATAATTGCTATAACCGCAATCAGCAGCAGTCCGTGTTGGTTGTGTATGATGCTGTATTTATCGTCCAGTCGTGTCTCGCACATGCTGGATGGGAAAGAGATCAGGTGATCTCACAGGCCAAAGCAACCTGTAAACACTGCATAGTATGCATTGGATGATAGCAGCACTATAGAGACAAGCTTTATCTTGTTGAAAAAATGCCCCTTTGAATATTGCATAAGAGTAGCACCACAACTGGTGTAGTCACCAGTCTGATGTACAGATTTGCTGATGTGTATAGGATAACAACTAGAGTGCTGCTTCTGTCATAGGAAATTGCTCTGCAGACCATAACTCTTACAATTGGTTCCAAGTGCTAATCTAGCCTCCTTCTAACCAACTTACAATGATCATTCGCACTAAGACAGAAATGGCTCTCATTTGATCTCCACTCTACCCTCCAATGAGTTCTAGCTTATATCACTGATGTCAGAGACTGCGGTGGTGTGAAGTTAGTGAATTTGGCCATCTATCTCTCAAATAATTTATTTGTTTTAGTTTGCAGTGTCACTCTGTTCTGATCAGAAGCTCAGATTGCAGCTGTAGATGCAGTGTGATGTTCACAGACCTGCGGTGAGTGTGGTAGTCTCCCCTTTGAGTGGTGGCACGTATGTGACCAGACCCTGGCTTTCTTGAGACGTCTCCCAAGTTTCATATATCTAGCACAACTCTTTCTTGTTGTTGGGATTTCATTAGAGTTTGTTAATGAAAAGTTCTAATAATTTCCATTTGTTACCAGGAAAGATAAGAAATTTTTTGTCAGTTTGCTGAAATTAACCTCTGGATGAGTAAATATAATCTTAAGTTTGTGGATGAATTCTGTCAAATATCAGAATACAGATTAAAAGGTATAATTTAGTGTTTTTTTAATGTCAAAGATGATGTAAGTATTCAGTGGAAGAAATGGTTTTCTGCATTTTAGTTTTAAATTTTTGCTTCAACTACAATCGGTATATTTTACACCTAAAGCTTGACCATTTGACATTAGAGTATGGCTTTTCACAATCAATAAGTATACCACAGTATATACCCAATGGCAGCGAACTTGGCATTATTTTATTAACTTAAATTATTTTATGTCACCTGTGCAAAAATAATAACTACATATAATGAGCAGTAATTTTTTTGTTACAGAAAAGAAAATTATGCACTTTGTTTATGAATTACTGTGTCCACAACAGTGGTTTAAGGAATGCATATTGTTAAATCTACAGGAATTATTTTTGTACACCATTTTAAACCAAAGTATTAAAACTTTTTATTTACCCTATTGCACTAAAATAGTTATAAACTTTATATTGTGAGTTACATGCAATTTATACTATAATTATTTATGAATAGTCTCTAAATACTGTTCCTCATCCCATTTGTTTCAAAACAATTTCATTCACAAACTCGGTAATAAAATTTTAATTTTCTGAGTAATATTTTATAAATTGTCATGCGTTAATCAAAAGTTTGATATGAGCCATTTACAGAAAAACAAAATTATTCTTTTTTAAGACTATATCAGAAACTGTAAAAAAAGACTTAAGTAAAAAAAAAAAATTATATAAAATATGCTATTAAAGATTACATTGCATTGTGCAATTAGTCTATATAAACCTAATTAGATCTTAGTCGGATATCATCTTGATGGAGAGTAGAGTATAGCGTTTCTTTAAAGAGTGAAAAACACATTAAACATGATTTTGGGTTCAATTCAATGTAATCCAGTATTGTCTGCCAAAGAATCACACCCATTTTGCTTTTGATACTTTAACTGCTCGCACAAGTTGCAAGAAGAAGCATGAAGGTATAGCAACTCATAGTTGTTATGTGAATGCATATACAAAAGCACATGGTAACTCATATTATGCAATCTAAATTAAAAAGCAAATAATATTTAATTAATTGGTGGCCTGTTACATAAGAAGCAATCATACTCATGTAACTCAAATTCTAAACATTTCTAGCATTCTTAGATCTCACAGAGCCCTCCATAGGCATAAAAACTGAAAATGAGTAAAAATATTTAAGCAGTCGAATACATAATAAATTGATAATTTGGATTACGTATATAATTATTTTATGAAGCAAATTGTAATTTACACCTTAATTTCCAAAATGTACTGTATTGTTGTATGAAAGATACTTTACCTGCAATTTATATTTCATATTTTATTCTTTTATACATAAATGCAAGCTCAAGGTAATCTGGATTGATTTAATTAATAAAAAATATTAGATTTGAAATTTTGGTTCTTGTTTTCTTTTAGATGTCTTCATCAACACCTTTTCCTTCCCATACTATTTTTAAACAGTTACATTTAATTTTAATAAAAATTTTGTGTACACTTGTTATCCAAGTAATACAAGATGTTGTAAACCATTTTGCAACCTCATTGCAAAAGGTACAGCTCTTTTCCAACGAGGTTCTAGTAACCTTTACAACATCTTCACTGCATAGCGAAGCGGCAAAAAATTTGCCGTCATATTTTAGCAATTTGTCGACATTGATGAAACATAATGAAACAGCCGGTTTCTGGCATGACACCGTTCTAGTTTTCTTCATAATTTATCAGTTTTTTTTTTTTTTTTTTTTTTTTTTTTTACTAATTCAATGAAATTCAATTTGTAATTTTTCTTTATTTCATCTAAATTTATTAATATAAAGTAAATGTATCTAGAGTAAAAATATTAATTGACATAATTTTAAGTACTAAATTTTGTTAATGTTTAAAAAAATTTACAAGATTATTAATTCATATTTGTTAAAATTAATATTAATATTTTAAATTTGTTTTTATGAATCACAAAGCATAGTATTAAAATCCGGAATAATATAAGTTATCATTCATTTATCCATTTTAAATGTTTTAAATATTTTTTAAATAAGAATAAAATTGCAAAATTTTAAACTCTGTAAATATTAATTTTGTTATTATATAGATTCGTGCAAAATTTAATAACATATGTAAATTTTATGCTTTGTTAATAAATATTCTGTCGAAAAGTAAACGTAATGTTACATATTCTCTCTAGCTTCATAATTTTATCTTGTTGAAGGACATAAGAACTCTGGCATTAGAGGGGTACCTTTTGTGAATAACTCTCCGGAAAACACTTTTATGTTTATTTGTTTGCTTTGCGTATTTAAAAAGACTGGAATAAATTAAGTATATAAAAATCAAGAATTGGAAGAATGAAATTCGTATTATCACTTGAGAATGCTTTTAATAATATTATTTTTGTTTAATTTTTTCCAAAGAAAACTAAGTTACAATTTTAAGAAAAAAATCCAGAGTGAAAAATTTTGCTCTAAGTTTCTATGTAAATGCTATGTTAATTATTTCATTACTCAGATGGATATCTTAGAGGAATGCTTGTAGAAGTGTGTCAGCTTTGTTAGTAATTTGAGATTACCATGTGAAAATATATATTTATCATGATCTTTTAAGAACTTTTAATTTTGTTCTCTGTTAAATAAATGATGCTTCTGTAGATTTTGAACTAATTATTATCCTGCTTTCACATATAAGATTTGAAAATGCTGATATTTATGTAAGTGCTTGGAAATAATATTAATCTTTGAATGTTTAAATTATAATGTTTATGTTAGTTCACAAGTTTTGAGAAATGAGTATGTTTAGACAGCAACAAGGTCAGTCCTAGGAAAGCACAAGAATTTTAAGGTCAATAAGGGGAGTTTAGAAAACTTAAATTTAGATAACCGGTAGCAAACAGTTGCTAGTTGACTGTATCTCTCCAAAAATAGTAAGTAAACATTTTATAATTTTGTATAAAAGCAACTCGTTTGATACTAGTTGCAGTTCTTTAAGGTGTTTTATTTTGGTTCTCACTGAACTTGATGTTTTGTTGTATTCTTGAATTTATTAGCAGGCTGTGTGATATTATATAATTGTTATGTTAGAGTAAACATTCTTAGGAAGGCTTACTTCAAACTTTGTTAGTTGTTTTATGTTGTCATAAGAAGGCATGATTTATCATTTACATAATTTAATAAATACAGACATATTGAAATTAAAAACTCAGCAATTCTATTAGAAATAAATTTTATTTCTTTACCCAAATGCAAGAGACTAGTATATTTGGAAGCTTGTCTTTTTTTTTTTTTAATATAAATAAGCGGTTATTAATATCAGTAACCCAAATTTCCAAGCACTTTAATCATATTAATATTCAGAAAATTTGCATTTTTAATAGTGTTTTGTTGGGGAATACATGTCCAATTCTGCATGTCAAAAAGTTTCGTATAATTTATTTCTGCTTGAATAGTTAAACTAACAAATGTAAAGTATTTTAGAAATTAAAAAAAAAAACTTTCAATATACATGTAATAAACATGTTATATTTGTTTTTATTGAATCATATTGACTTGGAAAAAAGGGGCCTGACTAGAGACCGTACCTAAAGGTACCTCAGTTAGCACCATGTATATAACGAGAATCGGAAGAGATAATAAAATACGACTTATTTTTTTCAATGAAAAAGGATGCAGCAGTGGCGGTAAGGTGACTTCTGTTAAACGAAAGTAGGTTTAACGCAGAGATGGAGAGGGGGAGGTCGATTAGCTCGATTCAGCAGCGAAGTTGTAAACAACAACAAGGATACGAGGAGCGAAGAGAAAAATCGTCTAGCTCGTACGCTGTCCCAGCTCCGAATGACACACTTTTTTTGGATGCTTGCCGCACTTCTTATGCTGCTGTTGTTTACTTAAGATATCAATTTGACCAAGGAGTTTCTGTACAGTTGTTGATCTCAAAATGGAGAATAGCGCCTTTGCAGGAAATATCAATACCCAGTTAAGAACTTTAATCTTGCTCTCTCGGTTCATGTTTAGCTTAAATTGTGAAAAATGAACCTCAAACTTCAAAACGTCGTCGAATATTTTTGAACAGATTTAGCCATAGCTTTGCAGTGGATAACGAAAGATGATTCTTGGGGAGTATTTGTGCAAAATAGAGTTGATGAAATTTATACGTTGACTCGAGGACACAACTGGACACGCATTCCCGGACCATATAATCGGCTGATTTACCTTAAAGAGGATGTTCAGCAGTAAAACTCCTTTCTTTGAGATGGTGAAAAGTACCCTCTTGGTTATGACTAGAAAAGGATTGGCCGAAATAAAAGACGACTCTTGATGAAGGGAAAGTCAAAAAAAGAAAGGATGAAATATACTACTGTAGTGGTAAATGGATCTAATGTAAGTGACAACTTTTTATCGTACATTCTCAAATATATGAAAATCATCAGAATGTTAGGCTGGATTATGAGGTTTCTTTTTACTCAAAGAATCGAAATAATCTGGGAAGGGGTTATCTAACTGTAAATGAAAAAAGTGAAGCAGAGAAGAGGATTATCAAAACTATCCAAAAGAATGTCTTAACAGAAGAGCATATTAAAGGTTTGAAGTCAATCAATACGAAACTAACGGATAGAGATTATACACAAGACTTCATATTTCCTATTATTCTTCCTGGAAAGCATCGAATGGCTAGGAGATCTGTTTGCCGAGTAATCCAGAGATGCGTGAGGTGTCAAGGACACAGTTCCCCCAAAACCTCTAGAAACTCCAGCAGTTCCTTTGCCAGAGGACAGAATTAAAAAATCTTCGATTTTTGAAGTTACGGGAATTGATTTCGCTATGACTTTGATACTGTAAGGAGGAGGAAAAGCATGAATTGTGTTGTACTCATGCGCAGTGTATCGTGCTGTACATCTAGAAATCCTCGATATTAACAAGGGTTTGAATTTTATTAGTTCGACAAATTTATTTCAATTTTATTTTTAATGGATCCATTGTAAAACAAGAGGCGGCACTTAAAAGAACACAGTGGAAGTTCGGTTCTCCGTCAGCCACTTGGTGAGGAGGATTCTGAGAACGTTTCGTTAGAATCATGAAAAATATATTAAGACGTGTCTTAGGAACAGCTTCTAAGACACGTCGGGTTCATTATGAAGAGTTGAGTGTCCTGTGCGCATGTGAAGCTGTTGTAAATTCAAGACCTTTGACATTTATTTCTGAAGATCCCGACGAACTCATTCTACTGACGCAGGGGCCCACCAGCGGCCTAGCGGTAAAATCGCTGAACAGCAGTTCGTTCCGAGGTTCGAATCCCGCGAACGGGCTGGCTGTATGGGTGTTTTCGTGGTTTTCCCCATGTGTAACGTGTATACGAGCCAGTTTTCCTTAGAAAGTCCTGCACGAAGGCATCCCTACCCTTGGGCAGATAGCCTTCGAGGCTTTGCCGTAGTTAAATAACCTAACCTAACCTAACCTAACCATTCTACTGACGCCTTCTATGTTTCTACAGAATATTTATACAGTTGGTCTAACAGACCTAGATCTAATTGACAAACAGGATTTAAAGAAACGATGAAGATATCTTCAAATATTGAGAGAAAATCTCAGAAAGCGATTTCGTAAAAGAAAGCGAAATAAAAACTGCAAAACGGGGAGAAAATATATCCAAATCCGTATTGGCGATATAGTTCTTCTTGAGAGTGACTTTAAGAGGCAAACCTTCTGGCCATTGTACTAGATATTTATCCAGGGAAGGATGGCAACATCCGAGTTGCACGACTGAAAACTTCAATGTGATAAATAGTTCGACCACTTAGGAGAATATATACCAAAGACAGAATGTAGTTCACTTTCTCCTGATATTAATACTGCTGTTACTTCTGATCCAGAAATGCCGAACGCGAAACAAGTTCCTACTGTTTCTGATCTAGATCTAAATATACTGACTGTCGATTCTCTGAAGTACAAAAATCCGTTGGTTCTAGATATTCCGACGGCTACGAGAGGTGTGATAACCACTAGCATTGGTAGGACTGATAAATTAACTGCGAGATTTCGACAGAACTTAACTTTAGTTTATTTCAGGGGCGTAGCTAGAGGGGGGCAAGGAGGGGCATCTGTCCCCGGGCGCAGAATCTAAGGAACGCCAAACTGATGTTACGACATTTTAGAATTAAATGTTTTCCATCCTTGGCAAGAAGTAGGGGGCGCGAAATTTTCAGTTGTCCCTGGGCGCTGAAAACCCTAGCTACGACTCTGGTTTATTTGAACCTTAATCGTTAATATTCTTCTTGTATAACTTGGTATAATTTTTGGTATGTTAAAAAAAAGTATTTATGTTAATTTATATTGATGTTGAAAAGAGTTTTGATTGTAATAACATTCAAACAAAAGGGGAAGAACGGACTTCTCCGTTAGTTGTCACACCGTTCATTACACTCTGGTACAAGTTCCTTAGCGCTTCTCTTTCGTGTTCGCTATCTTAATCAGGCCCATAATTGTTTTTAACCAACTTTTTTTATCTGGGTTTAAAAACGTCGCATCTAATGCTGAGAAATTAGTCATGTAAATATGTTTGTGTATACATTTCTTGAATTTATTATGTGTAAGCTGTACAAGTTATTCAGTGTACAAGTTATTTTCCTATACAATTCGTAAACAACACCATTCTTCGATGTGGTGTTGGGTCTTAGACCCAGGCACCCTGCTGCTACACCAACCTGCTCTTCATTATTTTTCGCATATAAGCTTGATTTTTCGTTCTACGGGTGAAAAGATTTAGCGAGTGCAAAACAAGACATTTGTCTTCGTTGTCTGTCTGCCTACAATTGTTTTGTATGGTGCATTTTAAGTATCCGGTTTGTTGTTGTTAGACAATAGAGTTCATTGTCTTTTTAGGTCTGATTTCTTTCGCTGAATGAAGTACACATTTAAATTTAAGGCAAGCCCATCATGTCTTCAAGAAGCTGGGCTGGATTCACTGACGAGGATATAGAAAAAATAAAATTAAATCCCACGGTTCCCAACCTCTGCGGTGACAGTTCCTGTGACATCACTGGTAATGTGAAATTTCTGCTTTTACGTTTTAATTTTATATCATTATGATACAAAAAAAGTAGTGATTGTTTAATTTTTTCTATTGTATCATTATTCGTTTGTTATTTCCTCTCCCCTATAAACTTACATGCATGATACGTATATATTTTTGAAGATAATTTGCTCGCAAAGGAGAAGATGTAGAAGCAAATTACATCTATGGGGTGAATTTTATATTTCATTTAAATATAATTCAAAAATTTTTTTGGTATTTTTCCGTTTTGCCGACGCAAATCTCGCCAAGCAGACTTGGCGAAAACATACAGTATACACATTAAAAACGTTAACAAACATTAGTTTTGGGTTTTCTTCCGGAGAGGATCCGTTGGCGCTTCGGCAGAGGATCCGTTGGCGGCGAAGCGTATTTACTCGCCAAGCTCGTCAACGGCTAATCGGCCATGAGTTTAGCGGTGTACAGTTACGTTACAAGATATTTAAAAAGGTTAACCGTAATACAAACCGTAAACTGAAAATCGTTAATAGCAATGAAAGGACTGGATATTATGTTCCCATAGATCCCCTAACTCCATATTCCCTCTGGCTTGCAGTATGCCATTTCCTGTTTGTAATGAAAAACAGCCTGTTAACGAATTTCCGCGAAATGCGTTGATCGTAATTGACTGTTCATTAGCTATTTTGGTGATACATACATGTCTTCTCCATTTAAAACAGAACCAGATCATATTTGCAGATCACAGCAAATAATGAGTCTTTCATGGCAAAGTTATCAATTTGTTGAAAAATAACTTAGTGAAATTCATATCTTTCTTTAAATATGCTTTAAGAATATAAAATTAGAAAATATTCCTGTTTTTAACAGTGCAGTTTCTTGGGAAATTGTCAAAACACAAGAGAAACAAAAAGGCACTTTTACTACTTGTACCTTCATTACATAATTTCAAAATACTTTCCAAAGTATGAGTGAAAATAAATTCTCATCACATATATGAAATAAACAATGTTTTCATTGAAATATAAACTATTGCAACTGTTTGACTAGGTAAAAAATAAAGTTTGTATAGGAATAAATTATATTCTGCTCTGACTTACTTATGCATGCATAAATAAATGTGTGCATGTGTCATAAAATAAAAACTAACATATCCACTATTTTTATTAACAATCATGCTAACCTCAGAAACATGAATTTAACTTTTTTGCATGTAACTCTAACAAGCATACTATGATTCATTACTTTCCAACTGATGTTCTGTGACTGAATTCTGGTAGTTTGATTTAGGTCCTAATCTAAAAAAAGACAGCTAATTGCATGGGTGTTTTCACGGTGCTTCAATATGTTACAGGAATGCAAAGCCAAAAATCCCTTATAAAGTTCTCCTCAAAGGCACACCTTCTCTTACGCAGATATTTTTTGCATGCTTTGACATAATTAAAACACACCAAACCAAACGGATACATGCCACCAGCAATTTTAAACTCAAAATATTCCTTAACTAACCCTCAAACCCTAACCTGATTTCGGTTATTGTTATTGGAGAGCTATGCTGAGTGATCAATGAATAAGAAAAAAATTTCATTGAAAAATCATGTAGGAATAGTTTTGTATAAATTATCATGTAAGTGTGATATTGCATATATTTATTATATGATTACTTAATTTTTTTGTTATTAATTATTTTTATTTTTTTCTTATTACGTGCTCCGCCCTTAGGCACTCCACGGAAAGGGAGGGATGCCCTGTAGAGGTCTTTTTAAGGGAAACTGGCTCGTATCCATGTTACACATGGGAAAATCACGAAAACGCGCATGCAGCCAGCCCGTTCGCCGGGACTTGAACCCAGGATCGAACTACCAGTGTTCAGCAGCTTTTACCGCTCGGCCGCTGGTGGGCTCATTAATTATTATTAATAATATATTTAGGCACAGTATTTCTTTTAAATTCATACTTCTGATTTTAAATCTATTTTGAATTTTCAAATCATAATTTTATCAAATAAGTTACTGAAAATGTAGTCACAATCTCACTCTTATCAAATCCGAAAGTTGAGTTCAAGGATGGACAAAACTATGGCCAGTGAACAAGCTACCTGAATTTTTAAAGCAATTTTTTAATATATAGATATATATTTATTCTATTCAGAAAATTATCAAAATAATATTTTAGGATTTTACTATGCAATACATAATGTATATTGTAAATATATATTCATTTTTGTTTTGGCTATACAAAATGTATACTGTATTTTGTATTAAAATAAAACTGTAAAGGAATATCAAACGTGAAATTTGCGACATAACAATGAAGTTCACATAAAGATATCTGTTATAATCACTTCATCGACATGCATACTGTGCTCATCGACTTTGTTACATTATGAACACAGATAATTCTAGTTCCAGGATATCGCTGAAATTATTTCTCCTTATAACAGATGTGGGAAAAAACCAGCACTTGCAGCATTCTAGACCTTTCATCAGGCCTGATGAAATTAAACGCAGCAACATCATTTTCTTCTGAATGATGCATTCAGGTGTATGAGAAAGGCAGATGAAACACTTCTCAGAATGTTGTATCATAAATGAGTCGTAAATGCTTTGCTTATATTATGCCAAGCAGTAATAGCTTTAGGGGCCATGACAGTGTGATGGCCCAAGATACTGAGTACTGAAGATTCAAACTAGGGTCAAACTACCAGTATCCAGCAACTGTATTGCTGAACTGCTTGTGAACTTGAACAAAAGTATGAATATCTTGTTAGTGAAACCCATAACGTAAGAAAAACGGCACACTTGATAAAATGTTCAAGATTAATGGTCGATTTTGTTATGAATCCCATGGTTCTGACATGTTTTAAATATACTCCTTCCACACGGATAGAAGCTGAATGATCATTGTCCTGCTTACTACAGATATAACCTTTCAATGTATAATCTGAAGGAAAGTTTAGGTTATTCGAATATGGCAAAGCATACCAGCTGTTGACCTGAAGAAGGATGCCTTTATGAACATTCTAAGGGAAACTGGCTTGTATTTGCATTACATATGAGGAAAACTAGAAAAATCAACCATGCAGCCAGCCCTTTAACCATGATATGAACACAGATCAAACTACCAGTATTCAATGGTCTTAAGCACTAGTAGGAAAAATCTAAAAAAATGCTTGCAATATCATGCAATCAGAAATTCACTAAATGTTGCACAGCAGGATTACTTTTTCAAGTGTCGAGGATGAGAATACTTAATTTTGTTTTGTTTATATAGGTATTTGGTCATGGTATTATTCATTACATATATTCTCTGTTGTTCATACAGATACTAATATTTTAGTACATTTAAAAGTGTCTTTTTCATTAAGTGCTTTGCTTGTCAATATTCCCAAAATTGTGTTTCATATGTTAAGTGCTACTGTACATATAATAGATTAATGGATTCATTACAGAATAATACATTTCAAATATCCATTTTATGCAAGCAATTTTCAAAGTTATTTTTTGAATTTACTTGCTGATAGCTTAAAATATTTTATTTTGAAACAACTGCCTTTTTCACAATAAACTGGACATTGCCAAGAATCTTCAATAATATTCAAATCCTTTAGAGTAGCATTGTAAATAAAACTATAAGAACATTATACATTTTGTTATCTTTCAAAAGTCAAACTTTGATTAATTACTCAAAGCAGTGGTTTACTAACTTTGATGACCAATAAAAAATCTTAAAATTTTTTTTTTTTTTTAATCTCATCTCAGAGAACCAATAATACTTTTTTTATTCATTATTACTTCTTTATTTCATTCTAATCATCTATCATATATAAACACCTAGCATCTTCTGAAAGGTAATTGCTAAGATACATTAAAAATATGTCAAATTTTTAAGCAAAGTGATGTAATTCCTATTATTTTAGATAAAAATAAGAGTAATAAAAATAAAAACTTTAGTTAATTATTTAAACCTTATATTATTGCGGCCCACGTTAATCATGTTTTAGGACTCGGGTACCCTATGGTTCTGAGTGTTTAGTCTTTTAATTATTAAGAACACAGTCATACTACTCTAAACAGGCGTGTTACCAATTATCAATAAGCCCCCCCCCTCCGCCGCAATTTCACCTGCTCATCCGGTAGTGATGCACCACCAGCCAGCGGCAAAACGGAGCACGCACAGAACATACGAGAACAGATTCGTTGTCTAAGCGTTTGAAGAATCAGGTTGCTACCTACGACCACCGAATTCGCCGGGTTACCAACTTTGAACTGTTATCGCCAATTTTGGCGATGTTTACATTTAACGGATCCTCTGCGGAAGTGCTTCCAATTTTTTATTTTGAAAGCATAAACATTTTAATATGGTTTAAAATTTTATAAAAAGGCATTAATTTAAGAATTTACTGTGCTTTCATGGTTCAACATCCTGATTTGCCGATTCGTATCACGTGACTCCAAGTGATCTCATATCACATAAACTACGCTACAAAAATCTAATCCAGTAATTATATACATTAATTTCAAGTCAAATCTTAATTTGGAATACAAGTTTAAATGCAAGATTTATTTCAATTCGTACGAATAGCTTACTCAGAAATTATATAAAATCACAGTGCTTTACTTCGCTAGTGCATTCTCATTAAATATGATGAATTTAACCCTTGATTTTGCCTTTTCTTTATTTTTGGGTGAGCGGTGTGATTGTACTCTAATTGACTTAATTACCATGAATGGTCTTAGGGCATAAAATTTAACTATCTTGTAAAAATTCTACGTAATTGTATGCAAGTATTGAAAGAAACAATCAATCTGATAAGAAATGGCTACGACATGTTTTGGAAATGAGGCGTAAAAGGTTACCAGCAAAGATATTCCGTTTGGCATCAGTTGTACCATTGTTGGCGACTTTATCGTTTGCACTGGCAAAATGGAAAAGTACCAAAAAGGCATCATTCATGATAGAAAATTATATTTGAACAATCAATGAGATGAAATTATGCTTTAGCGATAACT